GGCAACATCCTTCTTTAAAATTTACCCCTGCATTGCCCACAAAAGGGTGACAAAGGGGTAAGTCAAGTTGAAATGGCAACCTCCTTTTCTAAATTTTACCCCTGCATGGCCCACCAAAGGGTGAGTCAACTTGGGCAACATCCTTCTCTAAGTTTTACCACTACAAAAGGGTGAGTGAAGTTGGAAGGGCCACTTCCTTGTCTAAATTTTCCCACTGCATTGCCCGCATAAAGGGGTGAGTCAAGTTGGAAAGGCGACATCCTTCTCTAAATTTTACCCCTGCATTGCCCACAAAAGAGTAAGTCAAGTTGGAGTGACGGCCCGGTCTCCGGCCCGGTCTCCGATCCGGTCTCCGGCCCGGCCCGGTCCGGGCCCGGTCGCCGGTCCGGTCACCGCCCCGGTCATGGTCCGGTCTCCGGCCCGGGCCGGTCCCGGCCCGGTCACCGGTCCGGTCACCGGCCCGGTCACGGTCCGGTCTCCGGTCCGGTCTCCGGCCCGGGCCGGTCCCGCCCGGTCACCGGTCCGGTCACCGGCCAGGTCACGCACCGACAAAAAAAGGTATATACTCACCACATGATTCAAAGAACTTGTACGGACTTCAACCGAAGGTTGCAGCAAAAGCTGGTGACACGGATGCTGCAGAAGCGGCTATGGAGTTCGCACCTAAACGTTTTGCACATGAGCACAATTGCATCCAAACAAAAGTGCAAACCTGTTAAGAAAGACAAACATATTTTGATCAAACATGTTGGCATTATTTGTCAAGAATATTATGGGAACAGCCCTTTTGAATCCTGTGCCACGAGACCTTGGCAGCATAGGCTGTGCAGTTGTGTGTGTGTGTGATGCTCACACCTCGTTCTTTGTTCTGAGGAAAATTTTGGCAAGCGGAGCAAAGCCTGTAACTTGGAGTCTTATTGGCCAAAGCAGGGCCTCTTCAAGTCACTCTATTCTTTCGAGTCTTCTGCGCAGATCACAGCAGAGCCGTTTATATATGTATTCATGTATATAACTGTCTTAGGCCCAGCTTGGTCTGCTACGGATCTCTGATCTCAGCCTTCGCCAAGGTTGGCAGCTTGCATTTAAAGATACTGTACACTCAGCAATTTTATGCAAACCAGCGAAGTCGGATTGCTAAGGGTCGCAAGCTCTTACAGTGTAAACACATGCATATGAGACAACTGCTTTGGTGTTGCGTAGCAGAATACATTAAGCGGCAGTTGTACATTATTTGTCCGGGTTTGTTGCTTCCCTCTACACCTGTTTTATATAGTTGCCAATAGAGTATGATGGAGAGTAAACGAAGACAGAGATATGGGCAAGTGGTGCTCTGATGTGGAAACGATTTGATTGTCCTTTGCATGGCCAGCTGTTCATTTGTACTTTTTCATGGTTTATTCTTCCGCGGTAATGCTTTTTAAATAGGATTTTAAATATATGGTGGCCTGGCCAGAGCAATCGGCCCCGGAGGTAGTCCAAAATACCTGTTCCCACCGTGTATTTAAAGTGTCTGGCCGGGCCCCGTATATTTTGAAATGTAGACGGATCCCTGTTGACATTTCCTCTACAAAAAGGGAGAGCTTGAGGCCCTTACAGAGGGTGTAACGCGGCAGTTTTGGGCACCTACAGAACCCGATTTTTGCAGAGAATTCACTTTGCTTTCTGCCCAGCAACTAGGTCGATCTAGCTTTTCAAACCCTCTCACAGGAAGTAGAACTCATCAAGGATTCTTAGTACTTTCAGGGCTGCAGGCTGTATGGGGAGGTGCCACACCACCAAATCAAAACCACCAGGGCCGCGCCAAGACCACTTGGACCACCAACGCCACCAGGAACCCAAGACCACTGGGACCACCAAGACCACAGGCCACCTGGACCACCAAGACCACCAAGAGCACCACCAACACCGCCTACGCCGCAATCACCGCCAAGACCACCGGGGCCACCGAAGCTACCAAGACCACCTAGACCGCGGACCACCAGGGATCCTCAAGACCAGCAAGAGCACCACCAACACTGCCTAGACAGCCACCATCACCACCAAGACCACCGAGACACCAAGACCAGACCACCAAGACCACCAAGGCCACTGGGGCCCGACCACCAAGAGCACCACCAACACCGCCTAGACCGCCAAGACCACTAAGACTACTGAGACGGGGTGGAATGGAGATCCATCTACATAGAGGTTCAGGCTCTATGTGGCATCGAAGATAGAGGGGCAGCCAAGACTGCGATCATCGGGAATCGGGAAGAGGAGCAGCTGGCTTCACTTTAAGCATTGCTGAATCACTTCAGTCCACGATTGAGGAACCACCATTGCGAGAGGTCGGCAATTTAGTGCGACAGTACTTCAGAACTTTGAAGAGGCAGAGGGGAGAGCCTATGGCTGCAGTCTGCGTCTGACACCGAGAGGAGTACGAGAAGATGTGCAGATCTTTGGCAAGCTTCTATCCAACAGCCGTAGAGCTAGGAGACTCCCTTGCGCCTAGCTTTGTCTGGCTCTTCGGAAGATGAGTATTGTGGCTGGCGGCCATGAATTTGGTGACCGGGCGATGCCCCTACACTTTAGTCGCTCGAAAGCCCGCGCCCCGATGTGCAGAGTCTACCGCCGGAAAAACCATTCACATGGACGTGTTTCGGGTGCTGCCCCGCGCGTGTGATGGTTGGCAGCTGTGATTGTACCGCGCGCCGATCCTGTCAAAAATCTCAAGCAAACGTAGAGGGGCGTTTGGAGGTTCAGAGGGACGTAGAAGGGCGTTTGGAGGCTTCGAGACGTTTCCAGGCTTCGACGCGCGCCGGAGGTAGAGGCTCAGAGGCGTTCAGAGGCCTAGAGGCGTTGAGGGGCTTCGAGGCGTTTAGAGGCTTAGAAGTTTTAGAGGCGTGAAAAGGCTTAGAGGTGTTTTGAGGCTTAGAAGCGTTTGAAGGCTTAGAGGCATCTAGAAACATAGAGAAAACTTGCCGAGATTTCCTCGATACTTAGAAGCCTATAACAGACACATAGAAGCCTAGTGGCTTAGAAGCGCCTTGGGCTTGGAGAACACATACAAGGCTTTTGAGGCTTAGAGGCGCCTTATGCTTGGAGGACACATACGAGGCTTAAAGGGTTACAGGCCAGGCGCCTTGCCCTTAGAGGACAGATAGAAGGCTTAGAGGCTTAGAGGCGCCTGCCGAACTAGAGCGCCAGCTCCCGCTACCATCCACTTAGATTCACGCAGCCTGGGACCAAGCGGACGATGGCCAGCCGACGCGTGGAACCTGTCGCGCAAGGATCAACTGATTAACTTGGAAGAAAAAAGCGATCGGTTTCACGCAGTATTGTGGCTGGGCACTGGATCATATCTGCTCATAGGCATTCTCTTGGATAGCAGTAGTAGCAGTAGCAGAAGCAGCAGCAGGAGGAGGAGGAGTAGTAGTAATAATAAGGGTGGAAGTTAGAAGTGCTAAGTAGCAAGTAGAAAGTAGTCAGCAATCCGTCATACTTAGTAGGTAGTGAGTAGTATGTAAAAAGTAGTAGGTACTGCGTAGCTTCATTTAGCAGAGTCTTTGTACTCATGACCTCTTGATATTGTTTGATGCCTTGTGATATAGGCGTAAATAGAATGTCTGCTTCTCGTCTGAAGCTTGCATAGTGCAAAGAAAGGTATTTGTGGCCGCAAGGTATGCGCCAAGGAATGTGTCGTCAGAATGCATCGTCAGCCCCGAATGTGTCGTCAGGGAATGTGTCGTCAGAATGCGTCATCAGGGGGTAAGGCATCGTCAGCCGCGAACGTGTGGTCACGGAATGTGTCGTCAGAACGCGTCACTATGTCGTCAGCCACGAATGTGTTGTCGCGGAATGTGTCGTCAGAATGCGTCGTCAATCACGAATGCGTCGTCGTCAGGGAATGTGTCGTCAGAATGCGTTGTCACGGGGTACTGCGTTGTCAGACCCGACTGTGTCGTCACGGAATGTGTCGTCGTAATGCGTCGTCAGCGTCAGTGCTAAATGTCGATACGCAGGTTGTGGGCACTCTGTAAAAAACAAGCAGTCAAGCAGTCAAAAGATCTGGACACCTAAAAACCTGAAGGGCTTAGCTTTGCAGGATTCAGTTCATGTTTTGAGCGCAACAGCAAAAAACTGTTTGACTTTTTGGTTCAGTTGCTTTTTCGTAGCTGCGAAAACTTTAAAACGCTCAACTTTTTAGTCCGGCAAAACCCAAATACTTAATGTTTGTTTGGCGCTTTCAAATTTGTATTGTTTCGTAGCCCGCAAAACACAAATAGACACAACATGTGTCTTGTCATTTTTAATTTTGAAGTAACCTGCAGAACTAGAAACATTAAGCCATCAAGCGACGCAACATGTGGGTGTAGCTTTTGGTTTTTGGAATGTCTAAATACCCTGGACGCCTTGGAACTTGAAGGGTTTTGTGTTTTGGATCTTTTTTCCCCAAACAGTTTACTGTTGCGGTTCTATCTTAGAAAAAAAGAGCTGGCCACAAGGCCCCTGAACTCTGTGGCTGGGCTGTGTGTCCAGGCCTTGTCTCCTCTTGTCCTCTGTGTCCAGGCCTTGTCCTCCTCTTGTCCTCTGTGGCTGGGCTCTGTGCTGGGCCTTATCCTCTTTTTGTTTTTCTTTTGTCCTTGTGGCCGCGCCCCTGAGCCCTGTGTCCGGGTCTTGTCCTCCTCTTGTCCTTGTCTTGGCCGCGCCCCTGAACTCTGTGGCTGGCTTACTGGAGAGGAGTGTGGACGAACAAACAGCGATGTCAATTCCGACCAAAATGCATTGATGAAGCAGTTTGCTCTTGGAGTGAAGGTAGGGCGTACCAAGAAATCGATGTTTGACTAATATTGGTCTAAACGAATCGTTTTGAAGCTGTTTGGGGTCTATGCTTGTATAATTTTTGTTTGCCCGCAAAACTGAAAAATCCTCACGCGCAACTAAATGTCTATTTTTGTTATTGCATTTTTAAACGCAGGAAACCTCGGAACATAGAATGTGTTGTTTTCAGTGTTTTTTTGGTGCGCTGCAAAACGCGACTTTCCTGGTTGGAGATTTGGAAAGAGGATGCCACCTCTCTCACTCCTGACTCCTCAATGACTGCCTCCCTCCCGTACAACTAAGCAAAGATCAAGAATGTTCCTCGTTTTCCTTAGGCCTTCGCATTGAGTAGAAACTAGACAGCCACTACTCTCACTCCTTACAACTTCCTGTCCTGAATTTTACTAGTTTACTGTCTTATTAACTGTCTTCCATTGTTTGGGGCAGGGTTGTCAGTCTTTTGCCCCCCTCATCACCATTCCCTGCGCGATCAAAAACACAGATTCTATTACTGTATATGGTAGTCGATCGAAAGGTCGGCGTAAGGCCTATGCCACTGAGAGCCTCTTCAAGTTGTCCGCGAAAGTTTTTTCTCGAGTTCGCGAAAGTTAATTTTTTCGGGAGAAAGATTTACGAAAGAGTCTATTATACTATATATATATATTGTATACATGAAGAGGCGATACCATCATCAGTGATTTGCAAAAGTGCTGTGTGAGCTACAACAACAGCAACAACAAACTGCGGGTGCTGCTGCTGCTGCCACTGCCACTACCACTACCACTACCACTGCGTACTACTCCTCCTCCTGCCGCTGCCACTGGTTGTTACGCTGTGCGCCCAGAAACCCACCAACGACGCGCCATTTTTTGGCGAAAGATTCGCGAAACTTCCGCGAAAGCATAGGCGAATGTGAAGGTTTGTTTTGTGGATCCCTGCCCAAGCCAAGCAGCGACAGACCTAGCAAGATGAGCGCAACAACCGTTGATAGCTCTTCCAGTTCATCCTCCACCAGTTCTGCTGATTCACCCAATGGTGGTGATTGAGAGTTCTCGCCAATCTGCCTTGTAACACCTCAACCTCGTCTGCAGTCCCAAAATGGTGCTTGATGGAAGTGCTTAGGCTGCTATGTAGAACCACTAAATCCAAGACGATTTCTAGAGGATATACTCCCCGCGAAAGTTAAACATGGAGTTCGCGAAAGATTCGCGAACGTTAATTTTTTTCGCGAAGAATGGCCTTCTAGCAAGAAGGGATTTTGATCAACCACCATATCCCTTTTGCAAGAATGAGACATCGCGACTTGTTACTTTCCTACCGAGTCATGAAAGAGGAGGACAGAAGATACCATTTTGGTTCCCCTGTGCCTTCCTCTAAACTGCTTATAAGGACGCTAGCAACTGGATGTTAGTTAGTGTTTGTAGCAGTGCAATTAGGGCCCGCCTGAGCTATCTCAACCAATAGATTGATGAGGGAAAACACCTTTTGATAAAAACCGTCAAACGGTTGATCCTGCTCCTCCTCCCACTACCACTGCTCCTCCTTATCTCTTCTTATCACGCGCCCTTATCGCGCCATTTCTCGAAGAAGAGCATGTTCCTAGCTCCGATTCATGAGGAAGGAGACTGTCGTTTTGCAGCTGTTGACCTATCTGTGGACATTTCGCTTTTGCTTTGCAGGAAGTGCCGGCTAGCCCTGTTCGTACGCCCTCCCCTTCTTCTCTTGTCACAATCTTTTCGGCCCTGTCGTCCTCATGTTCTTCTACTGCCTGCTTGTTGTCCTTCTTCACCCGTCTCGTTCTCCTCTTGGCGTGCTCCCTCGCAGTTTGTCCTTCTTTTATTCTCTTGGTGTGTTCGCGGTGTTTTCCTTCCCTCATCCTCTTGTCCTTTTTTGTCCTCCTCATGTCCTCCTCTTTTCTTTCTGTTGTCCTGCTGCTATCGTGCTCTTTACGCTGCTTTCCGAGGCAGGGGCTGGGGCTGTGGCCGCCCACCATCATAACAACAATTCTTAACGACTATCGCCAGAAAAATTTGACTACCTAGATCAGAGTAGGATTAGATCAGAGCAGGGTCGCATGAAATTTTAGGTTTTTATTTTGGGCAGTTTTCACATGTTTTTATCACTTGTCCACATTTTTAATCATATTCACACATTTTAAATTATTTTTCACACTCTTTCTTTAACCTTACTATTTTTTGGGAAAACACCTCAAACACAACATGGTTAATCAAATTGTGTTTCTTGGGGAGAAGTTATCCTAACAGCTGAACACAACTGACTGCAGCAGTCATATCACGCTCCAGTTTGCGTGTGAAATTATGTTTTTGCATATTTTTGCATATTTTCTCATGTTTCAAGATTTTTCGAGATTTTTTGAGTGGTTAAAATGATGTTTCCTTTTATCCCCTCGAGATTTTGAGATGTTTCGAGATTTTGCGAGATTTTTTGAGTTGATTGTTGCTAAGAGTTTCATTTAAAACATTTTTTGCATTTTTTGCATTTTATATCTCTTATCGAGATTTTAAATCTCTTTTGAAAGTCTTCCATTCCAAGACCTCTCCGGTGAAGGTCATTGAATTTTCTTGGTGAGACTAAGTTGTGTGGGGTCTATGCGGGATTTTTGATTGCGCCCCAAGCTTATGATATGCTGGACACAGGGATCGTTATAATTTACGTAAAGGCCCCCCCACATATACAAAGATGTGTCTCATTATATACCTGTAACAGCCAGTAAGCAAATATCACTAGCCCCATCACCCATTGTCACTGGTATTAGAAGCAGTCTTGTCAGGCTGGACACGTGAAGCGAGCTGAATATTGGCTTGAGGCCAGGCTTGAAACCTTACATTTAAAGCCTACATATGTACATATGCATCCTCTCTCCCTCTCTGATACCTATGAACAACTTACTTTGTGTGGTTTTCAAAGGTGACGAACTCTACCTCGAGTATTCACTCAAGAGTCCAATGCGTCCAACCCAGGCATTGGAAGCTTCAAATGTTGGAAGCAATGGCCACAGAAAGTGTAAGCGGACAAACTCTTGTTTGTTTCCGGGTGGCCGTTTAGCCGCCCTTGGGCTGCCCTTGGGCTGCGTCCAAGGTCCCAACGGCATTTGCTTGAATATGGCGCGCCAAGCTGTTGCTTGAACATTATGCATGATGAAGTGATTTGTATTTTTCCCCCAAACAGTGTGGGCACACTGAGGAGTTCTTACGCTAGTAGAAAAGCAGCCGGTGCTTGGATCGCTGAAGCGCGCGGGCGTGAACGGCTAGTTTGCTGCTATTTACAGTGCATACATGCCTCTCGATATCGTCAACGCGCACTTCGACTGCGCAGGCTCGCAGAATCTGCAGAATGTCTGCGGCGGGTGCTTCTAACGACTGCGTTGTGGCGCCGTGCGCATTTTCCTACATGGTGGTGACTTTTCGTGGCAGGCGCAAGGGAAGCCTCGTGTTTTGGCGCTCCAAAGTCGACTTTGCGTGACAGGTGCAAGGGATCGGAGCTGTTTTACTTCGAAATGCAGTTTTCGTGGCAGGCGCAGAGCTTTAGACATGGTGGTGATCGTCGAGGAGCTCAGATTTCGTGACAGGTGCAGTGAATCGTGACTTTTGGACATGTGGCTCGTTTGCAGATTTCGTGGCAGGCGCAGCGCTTGGTGAACCTCGGGGTGCAGGTTTCGTGGCAGGTGCAGCGCTTGGTGAACCTCGAAGTGCAGATTTCATGGCAGGTGCAGCGCTTGGTGAACCTCGAAGTGCAGAGTTCGTGGCAGGTGCAGCATTTGGTGAACCTCGAAGCGCAGAGTTCGTGGCAGGCACAGCACTCTGTGCAGATTTCGTGGCAGGTGCAGCGCTTGGCGCGCCTCGAGGTACAGGGGTTTCGTGGCAGGCGCAGCGCTTGGCGAATTTGGAAGTGCAGTTTTCGTGGCAGGCGCAGCGTTCTGTGACCGTCGATGCGCGGATTTCGTGGCAGGTGCAGCGCTTGGTGAACCTCGAAGTGCAGATTTCGTGGCAGGGGCAGCGCTTGGTGAACCTCGAGGTGCAGATTTCGTGGCAGGCACAGCGCGTGGTGAACCTCGAAGTGCAGATTTCGTGTCAGGCACAGCGCTTGGTGAAGCTCGAAGTGGACATTTCGTGGCGCATTCAGTATTGTGCCCACTTTCACTCACTCCCACTCTCACTCACACTCGCACTCACACTCACTCTCCCACTCTCACTTGCACTCGCACTCACTCTCACTCACACTCATTCTCACCCACACTCACTCTCACACTCGCGCTCACACTCGCACACACATTCACTCACCCACACTCTCAGTCACTCTCACACTCTCACTCACACTCACTCTCACTCTCACCCACACTCACTCGCATCTCACTCACACTCACTCTCACTCACTCTCAATCTCACTCTCACTCTCACTCTCTCACTCTCACTCTCACTCTCACTCTCACTCTCACTCTCACTCTCACACTCACACTCACACTCACTCACTCTCCCACTCTCACTCTCACACTTACTCTCACTCTCACACTCACACTCACTCACTCTCCCACTCTCACTCTCACACTCACTCTCACTCTCACCCACACTCACTCACCCACCTTCACTCTCACTCACGCTCAGTTGCGCTCACACTCACACTCACTCTCACTCTCGCCCAACTCGCACTCACTCGCACTCACACTCACTCTCTCCCACTCTCACTCACACTCACGCTCCCTCTCACCCACACTCACTCACACCCACCTTCACTTCATCACCACCATCACCTCTCTGGACCCCAATGCGCCTAGATCTCTAGACTTTCTGCTTACAGACTCACACACACTGTTTGGGGTCTCTTGCCGGGATATTTTTGAGACTTATTAAAACTTTTTGTCATGGCCAGTTGATCAGCGCCTGTGCGAAGTCAAACGCAGTGGACCGCGCAGAGCCATGCTCCCAGCTAGTTCAGAAGAACTCATCGAAGACATCAAAGCTTCAGCAACAAAGCCACCCGGAGGTATTGGCTCGTGAAAATGCCTTCATTGGGTTTGACGCGGTGCACCCAGTGTTTTGTTCAGAGCGCACTACCAACAATTGCGCCACTTTATAGCTTTACTTCAAGCCCAATAATCTTCAGAGTGCAAGGCTTGCAGTCGATACTTGGAATTTATGTTCCGAGTCCTGATGTTATGAGCTACAATGCTGTCATTGACGCCTGTGCCCGCATCGGAGACGTCACACGCCAGTCTCCGAGAGTCTCCTTTTCATTTCCTTTTGTTGACCTTGCTGACATTTGTTCTCATGCAACTCTGTCCCAGAGAGTCTACCTCAAGGTGCAGAAGGTTGGCTTGACAAGATGAAGGCTGCCAAGGGCTCAAGCTGGAGTTTGGGCTGTCAAGATTGATTTGTCAAATTTCATCAAATTTCAAGATTTTCAAAAACGTATTGTCATACTGTAGCCGCTAGCCACTGGCCAAGGCTGGGACAGCACCAAATGTTGTCAGTGCGACACACAGCTTCGGACTCCCTGTGTGTGGACGCTGTTGACATCAGACTGCCGCTGCGTTTCACCAAAGGATGATGTAGATCCGCTAGGTTATAGCTCTGTTCTCCATGCCTGCGCGCGCAGCTGTGCAAAGCTCGGAAGTGGGAAACGATGCTGTTCCAATCTCGCATACATGTGAGTTGAAACCAGTACTTGGGTCACCTTGTCGATGAATGAAACAATATATGTATATATAAAAAATATGTTCAAAAACTGGCTTGATGCAGGTGATGCAAGTCTGGCAGAGCGTTGGTTGACAAGGATGGAGAAGGAGGCGATGTGTAGAAGAAGTCATATTTTCACTCATCCAAATTTGTGCGCTGAGCAAGATTTAGATTGAGCAATGTCGCTGTGGCATGCAGTTGAATTTGCAGGGCATTTTGGATGTCCTGGGCCGGGACGGTTGCAGAGTGGCCTTCTTCATGTTCACACTTTACTGGAATAAGCGGATATAAAATGACAAATATAGCTATTCTTTGTAATGTTTTCTTTGTACTACCCACCCGAAGACTATGTCCCCAAGCCCCATACTGAACTTATCATTTTCCATTTCAGCTGGGATTTCTGTAGGTAAGTGTTTTTTATTCAAGAACTACCTACACGGTCTATAGATGGGCCAGATCCCAGACCTTGGACCCCATTCTGACACGAGCTCAACAGAGCATGGAACCATCCTTTGTGAAAACGCTCAACTCGCAGGGTGCGGAGCCGAATGCCATTTGCTACAACTCAGTCATCAACGTGGGTGGCCAAGCTTCAGTCTCTGAAGGCATCAACGTCACATTTTTCCCAGGCTTGGTGCAAGGAGGGCAACATGCGCCGAGCTGCTTCGACCTTGGAAACTTGCAACTGTACCAACAAGAGAAAAGTCTGTTCCAATACGTCAATATGTTTGCTTGAAGCGAGGCATACTGGCTGAAGCAGATGTCAGAGCGTGGCGTGTGAAGCTATGTTTTCGTGTCAGTCTATTTGACGAATACCTGAAGTGCTTGCATCCAAGGTACAGCCAACAGTGAACAGCTACAGCACCATAATTGACAAGCTGGCAAAGGCAAACCAGTTTGTTGACTTTATGCAAAGAATTGTGAACTAGGAAGGCACCCAAGCAAGTCAGTCGAACCATGTTAAAGCAACGTGTATGTGCCTTGACATCAAACCTCAACTGCAGTTCTGGTATGTCGTATCATCAATCGAGGCTGGTGACATTGATGCTGCTGAAAGTTGGCTTGCGCGCATGGCAGAGGCTGCGCGGAACATACCTTGATGATGAGAAACGATCAACGTATACCACGAGGATCCACGAGGAAAAGGATGCGCTAGGCCTGAGAATTGTTTGAGGATACTAGAGTAGGTGGTTCGAAGCCAAAAGCATGATCTCAGGAACCATGCCTTTTATCAAAGTCTAAAGTACTCAATAACTGTACATAATTCCCACACTTTCAATGATGTTGCCTAGGGTTCTATGACACAAGTGCAGCAAGATGAATACATTGACATATATATATATAGTAAATAATAAATATATATAAGTCTCTTTAATTACACGAAGAACTCGCATTTACCAATTTTCCATCTTGGTGGGCAAAGTGCCCTTCCAAACACTTCGCGTTCTGAGAGGCTGGAGTCGAAGCAGATGCTGTGAGCTACAACATGCTCTTCAGCGCTTGCAGCAAGTGCTTCGGAAAGTGAATAGACCATGTCGAGGGTTGCCTCCTAAAGGACCGTCCTGCTGAAACTTCAGGACTGGGGATTGTGCACGTGTCTATTCCTCAGTGCGACCTTTCTCAATGAGGGCAGCAATGCCTGACTTTCGAGGCATCCAAGCTCTTCGATGAGATGATGAAGCGCAATGTTGTTCCGTTACGGTCTCAGATGGCAGACAACTCAACTTTGGCCGTGTGCGCTCATGTAGAGGTTTCCTGGCTTTCGTTGTAGCATGCCCCGCCCTGGAAGTCCTTGAAGCGCATCCGCTTTCCGTTTCCCAACCCCACAATAGATCTCTCCTTCTCTGCTTCTCAGCGAATGCACTTTTGTGAAGAGCTGTTGGCATGGCCCCAAGCATGGGCTTTTGGAGCGGGTGCAATGCTCAACCTGAAACCTGTTAAACAAGGGATCCTTCTGAACATACATATTGGGCACTTTCCGTTTTGGTTTGCCGCTGCTGTTGTCTCCTTACATGTCTCCCCACTTGTCTCACAAGAGAGATTGTGCCAAGTGCACGAATCCTACAGCCTTCCTGATGCCATTAGATGCCATAGGTCCCTTTTGACTGCTGCGTGACAAGCGCTTTTTGGGGAAGCATGTCCCGGCTGACAACAGTAGGTCTTCACTTTACCTTCACAGCCTTGCCCCCGTTTAAAGCAGGAACCGAATCCACTCTACTTAACTAATGACCAAGTCTTTGGGAGGCAGGTTGCTTACATGGGAAGCTGCCTCAAAACTCCCCACTTCAGGAACACAATTTGCTTCAACTTGCTCATCAACACTCACAGCCGCCAGGAGCTTCTCTTGAACAAAGTGCGGTGTGTTGCACGCTGGGTTCGAAAGACAAATTGCAGGGCGATGTTTCTGGAGTGCTTTGCAGACTGCGCCAAATGCGGGAGCAAGGTATTCAGGCATTTAGCTGCACCACGCAGTTGCACCTGTATTTTTTTAGGGCTGCTCGTTTTCATTTCTTGCTTCTTTTCGCAATCATGTTTGATGTCCTTAATCTTCCACTTGTGTTCTGAGCAATGATGAATGTTAGATATTGACCTCACGCAAGTGCTTGACTTGCTCGGCAGTTCCCGCAGGCTGACCGAGTTAGCTTCAACACCACCCTTAAAGCTTTTGCTCGCTGTTCAGATCCAAAGGCTGCCGACCAACTGTTAGGCTCTCAGTGTGGCAGAATCAGACAGAATGACAGTTAACGAACTTAATTAGTGTCTATTTGTTCCAGGTTTGGCCTTAAGATATTCCTAGAGAAATTTCTTCCAATCTACCGACTCGAATGGATTTGAACGAACTTTGCAATGCTCAGGCTCGAAGAAATGAACGCGGCTGGAATGAAACCTGATGCCAGGGTCTTGGTATGGCAGGAATGAACGAAGCATATTGTTTTTTTCCCCAAAGCATCTCCGATGCTTGGGTTCTCGTTTTGTCGCTAGTGCCGCGGAAGAGCGAGACAAAGCAAGCGTTGTTGTGGACGGAAGATGGGTGTGGATGGGGCTGTGGATGGAACAGGAAGGGGCGCAATACGGGAGGTGCGCGGGCGTGGACGGAGCTGTGGATGGAAGGAAAGGGGCGCGAGACGGGAGGCGCGTGGGTGTGGACGGGGTTGGGGAAGGAAGGGAGGGGCGCGAGAGTGTGGACGGGTCTGTGGATGGAAGGAAATGAGTGGGTGTGGACGGGGCTGATGCTGCTCCATGCTTCCTGGAACGGTTGTCAGAAGCAATGTTGCAATGGGGTTGGAGACTAGCTGCAGAGATTGAAAACAGCCACTTGGTATATAAAAATATATACATATCTAGAGATATGGGCTAGATAATACATCCAACCGCCAACCCAACTAAAAAGGGAACCGTCTTGTTTTCTTCTTATACTGCAACGATATTTCTATCTAGGGTCTATGCCAGTGTAAATTCTTAAGATCGAAGCCCGCAAAGGCTTGTTCGAGAAAAACAAGCGACAAATCCTCTCCTCCTGGGATATCTCCGCCACGCCCTGATCATGCCAACGATGCACGCCGTGGGAAATCTATGTAAACACTAGACGACGAATGACCCGAAAGCATTTTACCGCGTGTGATGCACTGTAGCGCTGGCGCAGCAGTACACATGCGCGTGGTTTTCCCAAAACTCCGATGCTTGGGTTCTCGTTTAGTTTAGTCGTTAGTGGGGGGGCAGAGCGAGACGAGGCAAGCGTTTTCGTGGACGGAAGATGGGTGTGGACGGGGCTATGGATGGAGATGAGGGTGGACGGGCGTGGATGGGGCTGTGGAAGGAAGATGGATGCTAAGTAGAACGAAGCGCGGGGGGCTACAATGCTGCTCCATGCTCGCGGAAGAACGTTATTGCGCGAGTGGAATTGTCTGGCGCGGCCTTATGATGGTCTTGTGTGCCCAGAATGTGCAATGTATGCCGAAGACAGCCCAAGTCATTGCAGAAACGGCAGGATGGTAGCGTGGAGGGAGCTGACGCTGCTCCATGCTTCCTGGAAGGGTTGTTAGAAGCCATGTTGCAATCGTTTTATGACCCTTTTGGAGGGCTTTCAAAACTGACCAAGGGGTGGACAGGGGTGTATATGGCAGACGGGGGTGGACGGATGCGCGCCAGAACCGCGATGCTTGAAATATCATGGTGGCCACGAGGCCTGGAGAGCTGATGCTTCGTTTTTGGGCTAATGTGTGTTTGTATGTGTTTGTTTATTTTTCCCGGATTGCGCCTGCGCGCTTCTTTTTGTTTTTGGGTCCACGGGCTCACCTTGTTTTTCAACACACATTAAACACAGTCGTAGAATTTGTCGTAGAATATGTTTGTGCTTTACATCGTATTATTCCATCTCGGTGGTCTTTCTTGATTGAAAGCACTCTTAGTAGGGTAGGCCGTGGAGGCCAGTGAACTGAAAAGTGAAGTAGCAAACATAAACGACTAGTGGCAATGACACAGGGGGAACCCTCGCTGTAAGAAACGGTAAAACGGTATCTAGATCAGGTTTCTAGGTTTTGAAAGTTTAGCTTCCAGGTCTCGGTTGCGGTCTCAGTTCGTCTCGCTCTGAGGTGTCTACCTACAATGCGTTCATTGCAGTGTGCATGCGAGCAAAGGCAGCAGCTCTGGGGCCCACTCTTTCCCGTGAAACTCCTCGCCAACCCGCGAGGATGCCAAGAAAGCGGAGTGCTGGCTGAACCGCATGTCGAAGGCTGGTGTCAAGGCTTGGGGTTCTCTGCAGTCGTTTAAACAAAGTGAAAGGGTTCAGCAGCGACAGAGCGGCGGCAGAAGGGAGAGAGGATTGGAAGGAAAGCAAGGGAACGAAAAAGGTAAATTCTCACAATTAAGTTCCTCGATATTGCCAATCTGCACAGGGAACCTAGCAATATATACATATATATATATATACACGCTTGTGTGTTGGAGATAATTAGGCCACAAAAATCAATTGCATCATTGTTTTTTTTTGTATGCTTTTGATATGGTTTTGTTACGTTTCTGTTATGATTTGGTTACGTTTGTTCCCCAAATAGTGTGGGCACACTGACTGTTCTTACGGTAGTGGAAAAGCAGCTGGCGCTTAGATCGCTGAAGCGCGCGGCCGTGAACGGCCAATTCGCTGCTATTTACAGTACATTCATGGTTCTCGACGTCGTCAATGTGCACTTCGACTGCGCAGGCTCGCAGAATCTGGGTGGCTGAGGCGGGTGCTTCTGGCGACTGCGCTCTCGTTGTGGCGCCGCGCGCGTTCACCTTCACTTCATCACCTCCATCACCTCTCTGGACCCCGTCTAGATCTCTAGACTTTCTGCTTACAGACCTCACACGCGCACACTGTCTGGGGTCTCTTGCTGGGATAATTTTTATGATTTTTCGGTGTCTTGTTTTTTGATATGGTTTTGTTATGATTTGCTTGTGGCCTTTGAGGTCTGCGTGAAAGACCTTTCGATTGGCGAAGCCTTTTGGCTTGTAATGAGGCATGTGATTCCTTTTGGAAATAGTTCGAGGACAAACGTTAAATTGTCGTTCTAAGTTGCATAGTGTAATACAAGTATGATCAATTATGAGTGTCTTCGCTCGATTTTTTCCCCAAGCAGTGTGGGCACACTGAGGGGTTCTTACGGTGGTAGAAAAGCAGCTGGTGCTTGGATCGCTGAAGCGCACGGCCGTGAACGGCCAATTCGCTGCTATTTACAATACATTCATGGTTCTCGACATCGTCAATGCGCACTTCGACTGCGCAGGCTCGCGGGATCTGGGTGGCTGAGGCGGGTGCTTCTGGCGACTGTGCTCTCGTTGTGGCGCCGTGTGCATTTTGGTACATGGTGGTCACTTTTCGTGGCAGGCGCAAGGGAAACCTCGTGTTTAGGTGCTTCAAAGTCGACTTTTCGTGACAGATGCAAGGGATCGGAGCTGTTTTACTTCGAAGTCCAGTTTTCGTGGCAGGCGCAAGTCGTTGGACATGGTGGTGATCGTCGAGGAGCTCAGATTTCGTGACAGGTGCAGTGAATCGTGACTTTTGGATATGTGGCTCGTTTGCAGATTTTGTGGCAGGCACAGCACTCTGTGACCCTCGATGTGCAGATTTCGTGGCAGGTACGGCGCTTTGTGAACCTTGAAGTGCAGATTTCGTGGAGGCACAGCGCTTGGTGAGTTGGTGAACCTCGAAGTGCAGATTTCGTGGCAGGCGCAGCGCTTGGTGACCCTCGATTGACAGCACTTTGTGAACCTTGAAGCGCAGATTTCGTGGCAGGCACAGCGCTTGGTGACTTGGTGAACCTCGAAGTGCAGATTTCGCGGCAGGCGCAGCACTTGGTGGACCTCAAAGTGCAGATTTCGTGGCAGGCACAGCGCTTGGTGACCCTCGATGTGCACTCTCTCACTCTCCCACTCTCACTCTCCCACTCTCACTCACACTCACCAGCGGTGTCCCGCCCCCCTCCTCAACAATCCTACAGAATCCCTGTGATTCCAAGGGGCGCGCACTTATGGATATGCGTACTGAACTGAAAGCGGCGCCGCACGCCAGCCTAGGTTACCATTTTCTAAGAGTACAGGTAAAACCTAATGGAGGCTGGGGGTCTTCAAACGGAAGCGAGGCCCAAAGCGCAAGCGCCAAATCGACGAGTTCGGATCGACAAGATGACGGCGGTCCGCGCACATCTGCAGAATTAAAAGGAATAAATTGCCACCAGCTGCGTCTTACAATGCACCCAGGTGCACCAAGCAGGTACGTTTTCACGACAGCTTGGATGGGTCTTCGTTGTCCCATGCCATCCAAGTGTCCATGGGCCCCCTGCTGAAGAAAAAGGAAAGATCCCTGTGACTACAAGGGGTACACCACACGCCTCCCTGAGGGGAGGTGTATTGAAGGTGCGGACAAAGTAGTAGTAAGGCCAGGAACCTCTAGTAGCGTCAAAGTAGCGCCTTAGCACCTAGTAGGAAGGCCAGGAGCCCCTAGTAGCAACCCAAGCTAAGGTCCCGACAGGAGGGAGGGGTAGAAAGAGAAGAAAGGAAGGTGTTCCCAGCTACGGCGCAGTGCGCCTTGTGCTTGCCAAGGCATCTAGTGCAGAGGCCACATTGCTATGGAGTCAACCTGCCCCAGACATGGCGCCAGCGTATGAAGAGTTCCAAAAGTTGCCGACCGAGTTGCCTACTAAAACTAGACTGTATCAAAAGTTTGGACCAAAAGCTTTCGAGAAAGCTTCTGAAATCGCCCAAGAATCGAGCGATGTGGCAATTCGCACTTCTGTAGTGAATTTTCGGGCGGCTGGACATCGTGTTGAATCATACGCCCGCCCTCTTGGGCGCACTTGCGTTTTTTTGCGCGCAGTTATCAAGACTGCTGTCCATCTCGCTGCTCACCGGAAGGATGCTGCATCCAGAGCAGCCCGACATTGATTGGCATGGTTGTCGGAAGAGAAAGCTCTGCAATGTGCCATGCTCGCTGACGCAGCTGACAGCAGCTTAGCTTTCACCAGAATCCTAGACAATGAAGACCTGGACCCTGCCACAAGCTCTGATCACATAGATGTATACCAGAAGCAGATGAAGGCCTTGTTTTTTGATCGGAAGGTGCTTCATGTTTTGGATATACGAAGACAATGTTGCAAATCCTAAAGAAGCCTGTGGTGTTCTCCTTTCAGAAAACGTATTCGGAGTTTTGGCAATGGAGAAGGTGTTCCTGAGAACATTGTTGGCAGGTGCCTGGAGCGAATGAGGTCGTGGGTTCGCTTGGCTGAAACGGCCATCCAGGCCGAATTTCCATCATTTGAGCTTTGCCAAAGCTTTTCGGTCTTTAACCTTCACGGGCAACAAGACGAAGAGGAACAACGCAAGCGTCTACAGTGTGTGGCCAAGTCGTGCTGTGTGAACTTTGAGAGGATGAAGGAACAATGGGCTTTTGCGCACCCTTATGCGCAGAAAGAATACCGAGCGCAAACAGAATTGAAATGGAACAAGAGAGGGCAGCTAACAAATTAGCTTGGGCCAAGGCTCTCAAAAACATTCAGATGATTCGAGGGACCCGGATGACAACTGTGCAAGAGTTGAAGCAGGCATTGATCAAGTATTTTGTATTCGTTGCTAGTTCTTCGGGCGTAGAGCAAAATTTCAGCAGGCAGCAAAGACATGTCACACTGCAACGAAAGCGGTTGCTGCCTGCAAATGAAGAAGCTCTCCCCAAAATATTTTCGATATGCCAAGTAAATCTGCGCAAGAAACAGACTATATTGTCCGGACTGCTCGGGTGGCTTGGTCTTACGTCTATGGTCCTCCCCAAAATGGATGTTCTGGTCGCGCTGACAAAGGGATCAAAAGAAAACGAGGATATTCGTCGTCGTTCAAGCGAGGCATCAGTGAAACAAGATTCATCACTTTGCGGAGGAAAGCAGCTGTTTCGGCTGCAGGACACCGCAGAAATGGAGAGCATGATCAAGCAATGGGTCTCCAGGCCTGGACCGAAGCTCACACCAAGGAGAAAGAATTTCTGGAAAGAAAGGTCAAAGCCAGGAAAGTACAAGCCCTGGCAGAAAATTCTTTGGCACTTCACTCCCAAGACTTGCCAGAGCTTCAGGAGAGTTTGACGACATGCAAAAGCAACTTTCGTAAAAACATGGCTGCTCGGATTCGAGCCCAGCAGAAGGCAAATGAGAAAATTCGCGGGCGCTCTCACATGACTTTGCTCCAAGAGTTGCAAGGAAGCAAAGCTGTCATGGCTGCTTCGGCCACCGCAAACCTTCAAGCAGCTTTGCAAAGATACTCTGTGCAGGTTCTTCCTCTAAAGGACAGTGTCAAAGCACAGTTCATTGTTACTAACCAGCCTGGTAACATGCCAGACATTCGCCACCAACTTCTGGCTGCGCTCCACAGCTGGTATGAAGTTAGTCCTGATGTTTTCACTGCTTCGCCTGCAACCTCTGGGACTGCATTGAAATTGGATTGCGCTGCTTCGGCGCAGAGAGTTCTCATTGCCTCCGACTTGTGTACTACGCGGCGCACAAAGTGTTGGTCATTTCTTCGGGGCAAACTTGCCAGCAGGTCACCGATGGCTGCTTCATAGGACAACGTTACAGAACCTTGTCCCGGAGCAACAAAGGTATCGACGTGGCGCAGCCTACATCATTGTGGACCGCGCAGAGAAGAAACAAAATGTAACTGGAATGCATTAAATAGTCAAGCTAAATCAGATCCAACTCTTAGGGGTTCTTAGGGTTCTAAAGCGATGCCTTAGAACTTGGCCACTGAGGTACTGAAGAACGTGGCTCATGTCTATTCAGTCAAGGAACTGGTGGAGAAACTGCGAGCGACAAACCCGTTGAAGTCCTACACTGGCTTCGCGTGACAGAAAAAAGGGGCCGTGCTGCAATTTGCTTTGTCCATGAATCATGAAGGCGCATCCAAATTCATTGATACCTATGTCTGCTTTCATTGATCAGGGTCAATAGCTTATATCATACAGGGAGTAGCCAATCAGCCTTTTCTTGGGCTGTTGCGGCCCATGGCTGACCAGCAAAAGTTCTCTGCGCGAGTGCCCAGTCTTGTCAAAGTGGGGACAGACTTTTCTGGCCTGGATAGTGCGTGGATAGCTTTGAAGCGGTTGACACACTTTGAAAAGAGTTTGATCTTTACATCTGTATACTGTCTGCGCCAACATGCTGAAACAGATGCACCAGCCAAAGATCATGTTTCAAGATGCTTCGACCAGGCAAGCTGCCAAAGAAGCATATGTCGATCTCTATGTTGCCACACCACCGTGTCAGCCTTGGAGCTGTTGTGGCAAAAGAAAAGGATTGAACAATCCACGTGGCAAATTGCTCAAAACTCCTGTGACGTTCATCAAGCGGCAGAGGCCTCGAGTCGCTTTAATTGAAAACGTGAGAGGACTCGCTTCCAAGCCACATCGTCCAGTCTTGTTTGGCATCAAAAAAGCATTGGTCACTCTTGGCTACAAGGTTCGTGTGGGTATTTTGACAAAGTTCCACAGATTCGCAAACGTTTGATTATAGTTGCCATCAGATCCGACTCGCTTCGCGCACCATTCCGGTGGCCAAAAGCCCGAGGCCACAAAGATTTGAACTGTGTCCTGGATCCCTGCGAGGCCTCAGATCCTCAGATCGGCCTGGTCTTTTGCCTGCAACCAAGCGCCAGAAGATGTTGGTCAAGAATGCTTGCAAGCAGGTTTGGGCGACCGGCGTTGATCCT